CTTTAGCTTTTTTTGTTTTTTTATGGGATTCAACTGGTCCTTTCTTTTTTTTTTTTCTTTTTTTTTAAACCATCCGTATTCGAATTTTATTATTAGAATGATCTAATTCAATTTAAAATTTAATCACAGTTAAGATTTTTCGCCCATTTTTACTGGTATATTTAATGGAAATAAAATACGAGAGCTCTTTCCATATGTCTAGTTTGCACTGCTAATTCAGTCACAATACGTATATACAGTCTATTCTTTATTTAATGTGAATGAGATGATATATAAAGTTGGTCTTTTTGAGGTTCCCTGAGACAAAGGTAGAATCCAGTACCCCACAAAAAATTGAAGAAATCTTTTCTTTAATGCATATTCTCTTGTATTATTAGCTCAATCTTGTGTTTAGTCTTATCCATCTCCCAAATCTTTTCTTTAAAGCTTTACCTTTTTTTGTTTTTTTAAATGGGATTCAATTAGTCCTTTCTTTCTTTTTCTTTTTTTAAACCATCAGTGTTTGAATCTTATTATCAGGACATTCTAATTCAATTCGAAACTTAATCACAGTTAAGGTTTTTTGTCCATTATTACAGGTGTATTTAGCGGAAATGAAACACGAAAGCTCTTCTCATATGTCTAATTTATGCTATCAATTGAGTCAAAATACGTAGATATAGTCTATTCTTTCTTTAATGCGAATGAGATGATATATAAAGTTGGTCTTTGTCAAAATACGTAGATATAGTCCTATCTTTTCTTTAATGCGAATGGAATGATATATAAAAAGTTGTCCCTTTTTGGAGGTTCCTGACGACCAAAGGTAGAATCCAGTACCCCAACAAATGAAGAATCTTTTTAATCACCTCTGCGGTTTTCTAATTTACTAAAGCTAATTATGGGCATATTCTCTTGTATAAAGGTAGAATCCAGTACCCCACAAAAAATGAAGAAATCTTTTTATCACCCTGCTGGTTTTCTATTTACTAAAGCTAATTATGCATATTCTCTTGTATTATTAGCTCCATCTTGTGTTTAGTCTTGTCAATCTCCCAAAACTCCTTAATTATGGGGTTATGAGAAAACAGTTGGAAAGCTTGTCGTTTCTTCACCAAAATATTAAATTTTAGCTGTTAACGCTAATGAAAGTTATTTGTAAAATTATAATTTGGAAATTTTAAATGGAGAAATAAATTAATATCCCATCAATTCTTTTTATTGTAAAAAATTTTATTCGTTCATTTTTTTTTTTAGAGGAAAATATTTAATACGAGATGAGATTGGAATTCTAATATATATTTTTGAGATAATTTCATCTTACCTAATAAATTAATATATAAAAATGACTACTTAATATTGATTCCTACATCTATAGAATCCATTTTTCATTTTCCATCAAAGATGGTAGAATTTGGAATAAAGACAAAACAAATATTTTCCCTATAAATTCAACATGACAAGCAATCAATGAAAAATTAAAATAAATAAATAAATGAAATAAAAGTAAAATTAGTGACACTTGTTCAATTGTGTTTCCTTCAAGACAAAAGATAGTTAGACTTAGACAAACCAATTTATAGTTGATCAAAATTGGCAGTTAATAATTGTATTGTTGTAGTTTCTGACTTTCATGTCAACTCTCAACAAATCATAGTAAATTCTATTTATCTTGCCAATGAATAAATGAGGAGACATGATCCACTCCTTTGGGGCTGAGAAAAGAGGAAAGCTGCCTTCTTCAAGCAACCCTCTACACCTCTACAATGGAGTCATTGACTCATATAATAGTGTTGCTTTTCTTTTGAAGAACTTATTATTTATATTTCTTGAAAAATTATAATATTGTAATAATTAAGGTCTTCAAAATTGTGGTATTACTGTACTTTACTAGTAAGGTAGTGTTCGGCAACAACTTTTAAGTAGCTTTTAGCGTTTTGAAAATACTATTTTTTATAATATTTAGTAACATAGCGTTTGACCTAACTTTTAGAGGTAAGCTAGTATTTTATAAAACATTAGTCTATATAACAGCTGTGTTCGACAATAAACTTTTTAAGTAGCCAATCAAAATGCTAACGCTATAAAATAGCGTTTGAACTAACTTTTAAAGGTTAAGGTAACATTTTATAAAAAATTAACTCTTATAATGTTTAGCTTTTAGTATTTTATGAAAAACTAATCAAACAGCTAAAAGCTAATAATTATCAGAATAGTTAACTTTATCAAACAGACCCAACGTCAACTCAAATATTTAATAGCTAAACATTACTAAAACAGTTAACAACTAATTTTACCGAACCGATCCTAAATAAATATTATTTTTTATCTAAAAAAAATATTTGTCTTCACTTTCTTCTAATTTTTTTTCTCATTGTAATGCATATAGTGTCTTGTTCGTTTTGCGGGAAATGAAAATGACCCTATGGGCATCTTAATGAGAGTGAAAGCAAATTAAGGGCAGTAAGTTAATAACGTCCAAAAGGAGGAGTAGAAACATGTCTATAAATTATGGCAAAACGCCAATAAGAAATTGAATTGGAAGTGTTTGGTATTTTGTGAAGTGATAAACAAAATTGCCAAAATTTCTGACGGTTGGCTTTGGTGATCTTTGTTTGACTCTTTCGAAAGTTGCGTTTGCTCTTCCTTTTCAAGAAACATTATACGGGTAATGGGCTGCTGTGCCAACTTCCATTTCCCACCTATTCCGTCTGCAGTTTCTTTACAAGCTTTTGACATAAAGAAAATGACGCGTGTCCTTGGAGCTTTTCTTTTTTACCACATTTTGTTCTTTACCTTTACTTTTTCTTAGCAGTTGATATTGTACACCAATTTCTACATTTTTTAGTATTTCTTTCATATTAAATCTTTTCCTCAATTTACTCTTATTTAATATAAATAAGAGTAAAACTGAAAAATAATTATTTATCACTTCTTAAATACTTAAATTGTATTATATTTTGAAACTATAATTTAGTTAATATCAATGGAATATATGAAGAAAACCAATTTAACAACATAGTCAAAATTTGGCGATTCTTTCTTTTACTTTGAGAGTAAGAAAAGATTGGGATATTAAGAGATCCAAGAATAAAGAAAAAAGGTGCTCTTTTTTTGATTTAATAAAAGAAATAAAGAAATAAAAAAAGTGAGACTTTTCTAATATTCAAATCTTGGTTACTGTAATGAAGTGAATTGTCCACCAAACAAAGCAAATCTCAGATCTTTAATCTTGGCAGCATTAAGCATTAATCATAATTAAATGGATTTTGCTTAATAATAATAATTATTATTATAATAATGATGGGGGTAAGTAAAGCTGCCACAATCAATTTGATTAAAAAGGTGAAAATAACAGATCAAGGAAAAAAGAAAGAACATAAGAATGATGACAGTGAATTCCCATGTCTGCACAATCCTAGATCTAAAATTCCAGAATTCAATTGAGTATAGCTCTGTAAAAATTTCTACTGTCCTTACAACTCTTTATAACCATATTTTCTTTTCCAGAACGCCAACACCAAAACAAGAAGAAAGTGATAAGCAACAGGAAGCTAAGCCAAGTACAACATACAAAACGACAACATATATAAAAACAGTACCAAACTCAATTCAGTGGCTTGCTGCCAATAAAGCCAACGGCAAATCTATTGCCAGTATTGAGTTTCATATAAGGTCCAAAATATATTGAGAGAAGGTGGTCAGATTAATTTTTGTCCACCGTGGACTTGTATTTTATTCTAAACACGTCTTACACACTCTCGTCTAAACATAATATTTAGATAAAAAATTTTAACAGATGTAATTTTAGATTTCAAATCTCTAATTTTACAGATAAAATTCAAAATACTATTCTCGAATGTTGTGTTAATTAAGTGTGAAAATGATGTTAGTTTATCCCAATCATCAAACTATCGATTTGTTCATCATATATAATGTATGTATATATATTATATATATTAATGATAATTGCTGGGCCATGAAAATAGTTAAGTTGTATTATTTTGGTCTAATCTCCCTATACGAAGAGAGTAGAGCTAGTCAAATTTCAAGCGGTGGAGCAATCAATGAACAATAGAATAAAAAATGAATCATCATAAAAATGTCAATAATGATGATGTGAAGCAATGTAAGTAGCAAAGGGCCATCTCGGACCACCCCACTACCACCATAATGGTGCTACTCATTATTCATAACACTGTAAAAATAATCTAACGATTCCTAAAACGGAAATTCTAACCATTTTGCTTTTTTCATAATTAATTCTTTCCATTTCTATTTCAATTATGTTAGGTATTTTTTTTTTTCAATTGCATTACGTTAAATTTATTTATTTATTTTTAACTAAATAAGGGGGACGAGCAAAAATAAAAAAAGCTTGCTTGATACAAATATGCAGCTCGACAAACATTTTGCTGTAATTCTTTTTCTTTTTTGATATTAAGGAAGAGAATTCAAACATGAGTTTATGTCCAAGTTTTATATGTACATATTCTTAATTGAACAGATCTATACTAAATTGATAACTTCTCGAAATGGGAATATAAGTTGTTGTAATTTTTTGGCCTATTACGAGGAATCATTTAATTTAGTTCGAGATTTAGTGATAATTAAAGTTTTTCACTTCTCTCTGCGGGTGTGTTTAGCAAAGATTGAATTCGATAGTCTTCTCGTATGTGCAGTCTGCGATGCCAATTGAGTCATATATTATGGACATAAACTGTTTTCATTTAATATATAATTAAGTTAATTTAAAGCTTTGCTATAATTCATCTCAGTACTGCAGCCATAAAAATGTTATGGTAACGTTAACCGGTCTTTGCTATAAAAAAAATGCCAAAGGAATCCTGAAGGCCGCTGATTGACCTAAGCTTTCACACAGTAACATCAGCATGTTACCAAAAACAGGATGATAATAATAACAGTGAAAAATAATAATAAAGAAAAGCGGGATTATTTGTAAAGTCAATCTAACAGAGATAATATATTATAGACTATGAAGCACTGCTAACTTTGTAACTCCACCTGGATGTTCTTTAGTAAAGATGCTATTCTTGTCCCCATCTAATTTCGTTCTTTCTCTTGTTCCTTAAATGTAAGCACAGGCAAGAAAATGATCAAGAAAGCAATTATTCATTATTCACAGAAATTATTAAACAATGGACTCTTCTTTCTTACTTAATTTATTCCTTCCTAAGGCATTTTGGTAGTGTGGAGAGAAGTTTTGTTTGGTGAGCTGTGTATCTCTGTATTCGCTGCTACATTCTTATATTTTATCAATTTCCTTCACATGGCTTCATAAATCTCAGTTACTTTACTTACGTCTTCCTTTTTCTCTTTCTTTGAGAGTGTGTGTATTTTTTTCTGCAAGAGAGATATCATGTGGGTTTACTCTGAAAAATCATGAGCTTTCAAAGAAATAGAATTCTTGCACTTAATCTTTTACTTCTTGTAGTTAAATCTTTTGGGCTTAACACAGATGGTATTCTTTTACTTTCTTTCAAATTCTCTATTCTTGATGACCCTCTTCATGTTCTTCAAACCTGGAATTTCTATGACGAAACTCCATGTTCTTGGAATGGAGTTTCTTGTAGTTTAGACAATTCTTTCCCTCATGTTACTGGTTTATCTCTTCCAAATTCACAGCTTCTTGGTTCCATCCCTGCCGATCTTGGCATGATTCAAAATCTTCGAAATCTTGATCTATCCAACAATTCTTTAAATGGGTCTTTGCCTCTTTCCCTTTTTAACGCAACCCAGCTTCGGTTTCTTGATTTATCTAATAATTTGATTTCTGGTGTTTTACCAGAGACTATAGGTCGGTTACAAAATCTTGACTTTCTTAACCTATCTGATAATGCTTTGGCGGGAAATTTACCTGCTAGTCTTTCTACTATTTATAATCTAACTGTTCTTTCTTTAAAGAACAATTATTTCTTTGGTGTTTTGCCTGCTGGATTTAGAGCTGTTGAAGTTTTAGACCTTTCTTCAAATCTAATTAATGGATCTTTACCTAAAGATTTTGGTGGTGATAGTCTTAGTTACTTGAATTTGTCTTATAACAAGCTTTCTGGTTCAATTCCAGCAGAATTTGCCTCTCAAATTCCAGGTAATGCCACTATTGATCTTTCATTTAATAATTTAAGTGGGGAAATTCCAGATTCTAGAATTTTCTTGAATCAACAAGGAAGTTCTTTTACTGGAAATCCTGATCTCTGCGGCGATCCATTAAGAAACAAATGTCCAATTCCTTCTTCACCATCTTCTCTTCCAAATGTATCTTCTCCTACTTCTCCTCCTGCAATTGCTGCAATTCCAAGAACTATAGCTTCTAGCCCTGCCGCCGGTAACAGACAGGTAGGTTCTCAAGGACTTAGGCGAGGAACCATAGTAGGCATCGTAGTGGGTGACATATTAGGAGTTGTTATTCTCGGTATGATTATCTTTTACGTATATAAATTAAAGAAGAAGAAAAGAAAGAACGTTGAAACGACAATCAAGGACGAGGCTAATAGTGCAAAAGACGACACTTGGTCTTCTTCTTCTTCAGAATCAAGGGGGTTTACAAGATGGTCATGTCTACTCAAGAGAGGAGATAATGAAGAAGAATCAGATTCCTCTAGTTGCGATAATGATTTGGAAGATCCAAAACGTCAAGAAAATCAACGGCCACAAGAGCAAGAACAAAATAAAAGAGGTACATTAATGACGGTCGACGGTGAAAAAGACTTGGAGCTTGAAACTTTACTTAAAGCATCAGCTTACATACTGGGTGCTACTGGTTCGAGTATAATGTACAAGGCTGTGCTCGAAGATGGGACTGCACTTGCGGTTCGTAGAATAGGTGAAAGCCATGTGGAGCGATTCAGGGACTTTGAAACCCAGGTCCGGGTCATTGCCAAGCTGGTGCATCCAAATCTGGTTCGAATTCGTGGCTTCTACTGGGGTGTTGATGAGAAGCTCGTTATTTATGATTTTGTCCCTAATGGCAGCCTTGCCAATGCCCGTTACAGTGAGTTCTTCTCTCTCTTTTCATCATATTTTTTTATTATTAATTTATTTATTTTTTTCCCAGTTGAATTATGTGTGCGCTCGTTAGTAGATTGATACTGTGTTTGCTAGCATGCGCTGGTGAGCAAGGACTTTGACGGTGGAGTAGGTGCAACTGAAACCTTTGTTTTTAATGCATGAGGGCAGTCAACTGTCTGATGATGCGGTCGTATAATGTTAGCGTTAACCCCACGGTATTCGATAGCGACTGGCGTCACTACCCGTAGTTCCAGAATAGATCAAATTTCCCCACCGCAAGTGACTCGCCCTTGTTATTTTAAGTCGGGTCATTTGGTCATCTACCGGCTAACTTGCGTCTTATGTATATTTTATTTTGTAGGGAAAGCTAGCTCCTCGCCCTGCCATTTACCATGGGAGACCAGGCTCAAGATTGCGAAAGGAGTAGCCCGTGGACTCTCATTTCTGCATGACAAGAAGAACGTCCATGGAAACTTGAAGCCCAGTAATATTCTTTTGGGTTCTGATATGGAGCCCAGAATTGGAGATTTTGGGCTTGAAAAGCTTGTGACTGGTGATTCAAGCTACAAATCCAGTGGCTCGACCAGAAATTTTGGGAGTAAAAGGTCCACGGCCTCACGTGATAGCTTCCAAGATATTTCACTTGGGCCCAGCCCAAGCCCAAGTCCAAGTTCAATTGGAGGCCTATCGCCTTACCATGCTCCTGAGTCGCTTAGGAGTCTAAAGCCCAATCCAAAATGGGATGTGTATTCATTTGGGGTTATATTATTAGAGCTACTAACAGGGAAAGTGATAGTTGTGGATGAGTTGGGCCAAGGAAATAATGGGCTTGCAGTTGACGATAAGAACCGTGCCATGAGGATGGCAGATGTGGCGATTCGAGCTGACGTGGAAGGAAAAGAGGAGGCCTTGTTGGCTTGCTTCAAGTTAGGGTATAATTGTGCTTCTCCAATCCCTCAAAAAAGACCAACAATGAAAGAAGCCTTACAAGTCCTTGAGAAAATCCCATTTTCATTTTCCTCTTCCTCGTCATACTTATATGGTCGGTAACTAAGGTGGTAAATGGATGTCTCGGCTCGATAAAGATATATCTATTCAAGTTTGAAAAACCAAATTCAAGCTTCATTGGTTAAGCTTTTCAAATGAACTCCAAGTAGCTTTTTTTGAATCAAATTTCGAGCAATTCACCTTACGTTCAACTTCCTTCATTTACAATCTTATTCAATAATGATAAAATTGGATTAGCAGCTTTGTAAAGCGATTGTGTGTACTATTTTAACTTATAGACTCTTAATTGTTTCGATGTTTGAGGGCCAATTGTGTGATAATTTTATACGTGACTAATTTTTAATTTCACTAATTTTGAGCTTGGCCATTCTTATTTTCATTTACATTGATTTATAGCATGATTATAATTTTTTTTTTATATTTTCTCATATTATGGTTTAACTATTTTGTGCCTGTGATGAAGTTAATTGGACTAACATGGAGAATGATTTGTTTTTAATTAGAATGGGGGATGAAACCGAATAACTTATTTATCTAAACCAAACAGATCCTACTCTATCAACCTCCAATAACACATGAACTGAAGGAGTATCCAATACATGTTCACCTTGCTGTCACAGAAGCGCTATCGTAGCCTCTTAGATATAAGTCTTGTGTAGATTGTGAAGTTGTGTGAAGAGATGGGAATCTAAAAAGATCTCACAGCTTACATATGTAAATGTTTATAGTGTGAGATGTCTTTAATTCAAATAAATTGGACATTGGAGGGAAACTCTGGAGAGAAAATAAATTTATTGCTTGCTTATATTAAAACTCATTTTTTAATTTTTTATTATTTATATAAAATTTCTTTTAACTGTTGTTTAAAAGAAACGTTTATCTAATAGACGCAACTGTCTATTGAAGGTTTATTTATGTTAAAACTTAGTATTTTATTTAATTTATCCTTAAATAAAAAAATACATAAATTATTTTATGGTACAATATAGGTTACGGAGGCAAAACGAGTCAAAACGGAAAAATGTCTGCATATGGAAATTTATAGACTACTTGGATTTTTAATTAAAATATGGTTAAAGTACTTCCTGAATTATTTAAAATACTTTTGAGTTGGTTTAGAGTAACGATATCATTAGGTCCGTTTTGACAATTTTGAAATTTTTAAGTTTTTAGCTCAAAACTCATTTTGGGGCCCATATATTTGGGTTGGACAGTCCATTTAGCCTTATTTTGGATCACTATAACTTGCAGTGACAATAAGGTAGAAAATGAAGAGTCAAGTTGAAGAGCTATCCATTTTAATTATTGTTTTAATTTTCATTTATTTACTTTATACACCCCTACTCTGTAAAATTGAATTGGCTATAGAGAGATTGAATTTTGTATAATTTCAGATTAATAAAAGTGAGGTTTATGCCTTTTTTTTATCTTTATACATAAAGTATTTGTTTGGATTGTAATTGATTTGTTCAGTTGCTATTCGGATTCAATTCCTATTTCTTATGTTTTTGAACATCTAATTAAAATTGAGTTTATACGGATATTATGAGATTTTCTCTTTTAAGTTTTTTTAAGTTGAATTCTTAAATATAAGAATAAATCAAAATCATGATCGCTTGATGGTTAATTTTGCTAATCAAATTGATGGATTTTAAGTTCCATCCTAATCTTGGGTTCCCGTATCATTTTAGTTTATTGTCAATGGCTATAATTAGTCTCGATAGCTGGTGTTTGGCAATTGTGATTAAAGATGATGGTAACACCGAAATGCAACGGTAATTAAAAATTGATGGTAATATCGTATGTTTATGTGTTTATATATATCTTTTCGTAATAGTGAATCTGTCAAAATTTAGAAAATGATTTATTTGTTTTAAATTTTTTTTAGAGAAAATTACTTTGCTTGAAGATGATTTAATTTTCTATTTAAAAAATATTTTCCATTTAATTTATTTTTCTGAACATGTGATATAAAAAAATTTTGCCAAAAAACGGAGCCAATTAAAAGTTTTGCCAAAAACTGATTGTCAGAGCCCAGCTAACATCGGGCTGGGCCCTTTAAGCCTTAACACATATCCGAAACAGGATCTTTGAACCCTACCCGCATTACCCGGATATGACAACGGCTCTCTCGGTTTGTCCCATTTTTGAATTGAAAAAGCGCCCGCTCTTCTCCCACTTTAAATTCTTTCTCTTTACGTCCCTCTGCCCCACAAGGAGCGTTTGCTTTCTCTCTCTGGAACGTAGAGTCTTAGAGATATAGAAGCATCAAACATATAGTCATAAACTCAAAACAGAGCAAATCGGAAATCGGAGATGGCGACGCATATAGGGATGATGGATCCGGCTTATTTTGTTGGCAGATCGGAGATTCTCTCCTGGATTAACTCCAATCTCCGACTCAATCTATCCAAAGTCGAAGAGGTTTTCACTTATTCCTGCCTTTGAGATTTCTTCCTTGCTCTTGTTTAACCTAATTTCTCAATTATAGGGAAGAATTTCTAATTTACGTGGTTTGTATCTGTGAATTTTAGGCTTGCTCCGGTGCGGTACATTGCCAGCTAATGGACGCGGTTCATCCAGGAATTGTTCCTATGCACAAGGTCAATTTCGATGCAAAGAGCGAGTATGAAATGATCCAGAACTACAAGGTTCTTCAAGATGTCTTCAATAAACTCAAGATCACTAAGGTTTGTGACATTTGTGCGTTTCTGGGACTCTGTTTGTGACATGATTTTTGTTTTTGTTTTTTTTGTTTTTTTTGTTTTTTGTTTTTTTTTTTTTTTTTTCAAACACATAAGTAGTCATCAGACACTCAAAACATGTGCTAGAGGCAAGATCGGATAAATGCGGAGAGTGGCGACGCATCATAGGGACTTGAATGGATCCGGCCTTTAATTTTGTTGGCAGATGCGGAAGATTCTCTCCTGGATTAGACTCGCAATCTCCGAACTCAATCTACTCCAAAGTCGAAGAGGTTTTCAACTTTAATTCCCTGCCTTTGAGATTTTCTCCTTGCTCTTGTTAACCTAAAATTTCTCGCAATCTATAGGAGAATTTCTAATTTACGGTGTTTGTATCTGTGAATTTTTAGGCTTGCTGCCGGTGCGGTACACATTGCCAGCTAATGGACGCGGTTCATCCCAGGAAGTTTGGGTTCCTATGCACAAGGTCAATTCGATGTACGACTAAAAGAGCGAGCTATGAACGGTGATCCGAAGCGTACAAGGTTCTTCAAGACTGTCCCTTCAATAAACTCAAAGATTGCAACACAGGTTTTGTGACATTTGTGCGTTTCTGGGACTTCTGGTTTGCTGACATGATTTTTGTTTTTCGTTTTTGTTTACGTTTTTTTTTTTGTTTTTTGTGTTTTTTTTTTTTTTTTTTTTTTTTTTTGTTTTTTGCTGATTTTTGGAGTATTTGGTTCTTCGTGTGTTTTGTGTCGTGGTGTTCATTTGTCGTTTTTTTTTTTTTTTTTGCTGATTTTGGAATTTGGTTTCGTGTGTGTGTGTGTGTTTGTCGTGTTTTTAGCACATTGAAGTCAATAAGCTTATAAAGGGAAGACCGCTTGATAATCTGGAGTTCATGCAGTGGATGAAGCATTACTGCGATTCTGTTAATGGAGGCGTTGTTAAGTAAGTTTCGCTTTGAGACCTTTACTGACTTATCCTGAATTCCTGACTTTGATTTTTGCTCATCAAGTTGTAAATTCTTTCTTCATCGTATAGCTTTATTTTTCTCTTATAGTTTCTTATTGTCTGTCAATTTGAAGCAAAGCTATTGCCAGATAATGTAATTTTGCGACATTGACTTCATTGCTGATCTTACAAAAGTTTTTGCTGCGTAATGTGTATGCAGTACTGACAGTAGAATTAATATGTTTTTGCTGGATAAGTTGATTGTTTCCTGTTATGCTAGATTACCTTAATGTCTCAATCTCTCATTGATTTACTTCCTTCTGTGGTTAGTTACAATCCATTGGAAAGGAGAGAGGCATGCAAGGGAGGGAAAGAATCTAGCAGGAAATGTCTACCATCTCAATCATCAGCCAAGAGTTCAACAGCTGCCCCCAAAGCACAGTCTTCCCACAGTGGTAGAAGAAACGACGTGTCCTCTGTGAATACAAATCAATCTGTGAAGAATTCAAAACCACCACCTCCTAGTTCAGTGCCTCAATACGATGAACAGGTAAAAATTATTGAAGAAATGAAATCATTTCCTTACTGATGGCTTCTATGCTCTAATACTACTTGATATGCAGATCACAGAATTGAAGCTGTCAGTGGATAGTCTTGAAAAGGAGAGGGACTTCTACTTTGCAAAGCTGAGAGATATTGAGATTTTGTGCCAGAGTCCTGAGATCGAAAACCTACCTGTACTATTCAGACATTTTGGAAAAATTTCAATACCTAAAACATTGTTCGACTATATCACCATTTGCTAATATGTGATATAATGTTTGTTCTCTGCAGGTTGTTGCTGCAATAAAAAGTATCCTGTATGCAACAGACGATAATGCATCAGTTGTTGCAGAAGCTCAAGCCATGATATCTCTTCAACAGAAAGAAACAAAGCTTTTAAGTCCGATAATGGAGATCTCATCAAAAGAAAAGA